CTTTTTGAAGAGGTTCTAATGGATCATTGTCTTATGGCGTGAAAGTGAAAAYTGATTGATGAAACTTGATAGACTTTTTCCTTGGTACCCAATCATTACAGATTGTCCGAATCGGAGCATTAGCATTGCCAAATAATGCCKTTAAGCAAAAACATTTAAATGGCTATAACAAAAACGCAAATGAAGATAAGAAACTGTAATTTGGTACAGTGAATCGCAGTTTGGAGGGTCAACTTTGGTTTGAAAAATTTTACAAGTGGACATGACTTCACCCCTACTGTGTTTAGTGTGCGTATTTCAACAAACAATTTCCGCTACCTCTTCAGACAGTGTGATGATGTCTAATATCGCAGGATAACTTGGCACACTATCCATACAATGTTAAAACTAAAATTTTGGAGACACAATAACTCACTAAACAAATTTGTTAGAAACAAATATGAGAGAGAGAGAGAGTTTATGAGATCATTATCATCATTATTCACAGCCTAAATGGTCTTTTCGTACCGGCGTGGCACTGATATATGAGGTGAAATATATAATTCAAATTAAGGGATAATTCTTCCCTTATAATGGTTTATGTGTGCGTCAAATATGGGTTGAATCGGACTAATACTTTAATTAGCACCCATATACCTAAAATAAAAATTTTCAAAATTCCAAGATATATCGGCGAATATATGAGCTTTCTGAATGAAAATGAGAGAGCGTATTTTACTCATAGCAGTGTATCTCTGTGCATAAAATAAATAAAKTTGAGTGAAACGTTAACTTACCCCCAAATAACAAATATCAGGATTTTTGAACATGGTAGGTTATGTTAGCTTAGATGGCTGATCAGAAATCAGACGTGAACTAATAATGTAGTTCTCTGTGAAGCCATTRAAAAAAAAAAYTCCCGTGTTCGGACTTACAGATTGGCGAACCCCTTTTACCGACACATATTTACAAAGGTACTTAACTTCAACASCCGCCAGTTCGGTGGGATGACCGAGGGACAGTGAAGAAGGAAGCGCTGGCTTATTTCTACCGCATCTTCTTACAAACAACTGCTGCAGTCTAATATGGTAGTGGTTAAGAATCCCACTACTAATGAGAGGCTAGTCGTACTGAGGKAAAGAGATCGCTAGATATCCTCCGATGTATCTTGGGTCAAAAGGCTTTTGCGACCGCGCAAGTATCGATGATGGCCTAGCGTTGGCCAAACATCCGCGAGGCCCTGCTATCTAGTAGTAGAACACTAGAGGATGCAGGAGCACCGACCCGTTCCAATTCTACCAATAATGATACTAGGATGACTTTCCTTACTAGCTTATCAACTTTACAATTACTTGCGATTCCGCTATGACCCGGTACCCATAACAGTCCAATCACAAAAACTAGCGACGTTAGACATCCTTCGACCAACCCTGAACGCACTGTGAATGAGTTCAAGGCTAGTATTGCCGTTCTGCTATCTAAGTGAATGGTCACCTCTCAGAAGGTGGACGCTCTCCGGAGCAGCAAATCTGCTGCTACCTTGATGGCTATAACCTCAGCTTGTAATACACCGCAGAAGTCTGAAACTTTAGTTGATAGAGGGCTCCCAGCAGTAGATCCCTCCACCAACCTTCCTTTGACCCATCCGTAAAGAAGCTTGCTGCCCCTCTCCTCCAATGGCTTCTTCCCACCCATATCTCCCTCGTCGGTATATGGGCAGAGAAGGAGCCGCCAGAATTCGATATGGCGACTCGCTGATCCAGATCATACGGTATGCAATCAAAATTTGTGAGGATATCCAAGTGTTCAGATACGCGTTCCTTTAAGGATCCAGATTCTCTGAGCCCGATATACAAACATACACCTTCCAATGTCCACGGGCGTTATGTTCAAAATTGCATTAAGCAATGGGTGCATTATATAAAGTATATGTTTATATAAGATTGCTTCTATTTCGATCCTCAGGTCACGTTTACACCATAAATTATTTCCTTGGTTTTTTTTGTAAGTTGCAAGAGTATAAAATGTTCGGTTGCACCTGAACATAGCCCTTCCTTACTTGTTTTTTATATTGAAATAGATCTATTAGAAACAATAATCAATTAAAACTGCTATATTTTCTTTAATATAAAATTTTTTTAAATTTGAATTAATTTTTCTAACAAATGTAATAAATATTTCTGTAAAATGATTAGTAAATATTAAGAAATAAAATAATAGAAGAAATGAAGAAAAAGGGACATAATACAATTTTCAATGCYCACTGAACAAGGTCATAGCCGCTGATCTTGTACTAGTACAAATAATAAACATGCTGCCATAGGTCATTTCAAAACAGGCTCACACTACCATGACTGGAATGCCAAGAGTGACGAACACCTCTGCGCGATGTTGTTATTTACAACAAAGGTAAAATTCATTCATGTCGCTTGGCGCTGAAGTGGTGTTGATGTCCCTATGCGATTCCCACTGGATCTTTCAGCTGTCGGCCGACTACTTATGCTTGCAATTGCAATGAATAAAAAATARATGAGAAAAGCAAAGTTCTTTAAGAAAGATAACGAGTAGGCGCATTCTTTGCGGCGAAGAATGTGTGTATACWTGAGTCGATGGAGCGCATATAAAAGGAGCCCCAACCTTGGTGGACGGCATCAGAACACAAGCAAGCGAGTGCTGGTAAACATCTATTACTAGCGCTACTAAACTATCGACCACCTAGCCTGCCCTCATCGCCATGAAGTACTCTTACGTAGTCTTTATTTCAACCTTCGTACTGGCCGCATTTTCGTATGTAAGAGCTAACGATAATGCTGTAGCTTACGTCGCCACACCACTGCTACGCACGTATCCGTACGTTTACAGCGCGCACAGTTCTTCCCTCGTCACACCCACTCAACAGCAATATCACACCCAGGATGGCTTGGGACAGTACGCGTATGGCTATGCAGARCCTCATTCTACGAAGCAGGAGGTGCGCTCACTGGACGGCATCACACGTGGCTCATACAGCTATCGCGACGCTGCGGGAAAATTACAAACTGTAGACTATACAGCAGATGACAATGGTTTTCGTGTTGCCGCTACAAATCTGCCTATCGCCGTCGCCGATGACCAGTCACTTCAGCAGCCCTTTCGTGGGAGGGCCACGTCAGGCGGAGTTGCCATTACCGCCGGCGTTGGAGCAGCCAGTGACGTTCACCTTGCAGGTCATAAGGAGGCTTTATTGCGCCTGGCAGCGGGGGGCATCCTTAGCGGCGAATCCTTTTCAACCGGGTCAGATACTCGGTCTGTACAATTGTCTCAGCCCGTGGATGATACAATTACCGTGGCCGCTGCAAAGACGCCTCAACTAAGCTCACATAATCCTGAGAAACAACTGCAAGAAATTAATCAACAAGGACGTATTTTTACACCGACAATTTTCCCTGGCCRAGCTGCTATTCGAACAACTGTCATTCCAAGTGTTTACAATTACGGTTATCCGTGGAGATACTTTTACTATTAGAAATATTCGTTTATCGAAATGTCTAATATACCAAYAATATGCATATAAACGATCCTTTAAAAAATGTAAACAATTTTCGTAATTTTTCAGAATAATAAACTTTTATTTAATTATCTAATTTGTATTGGAAAAATTTTCCCAATTTCACTCTCGAATGAGGAAGTTCTTCAGTGCTCAATATTGGTACGATTTACTAACGGCTCCTTCGTCCAAATCTTTAAGAATTATTTCCCAAAGACCTGTGTAAATTTTCATGAAGATCGGTTGAATAGTTTTCGAGAAATCTTGCCAACAAACTTCAAAAKCAYAGTTTMRASGAAAACGCGTTTAAAAACGACTTGGAAATTTAGGACTATATTCYAGAGGTGTTGTAACTTGACGAGCCGARTCGATTTAGCTATGTCTGTCTATCCATCTATTCGCGTATCTGTATTTACGGGAACTGGTTCCACAGTTTTTGAGGTATAATTTTGAAAATTTCCAACGGTCCTTTTCTACCCAAGATGGTCCTTATTTATCGGAATTGCCGGTATTGGACTTTAGGTGAGCAAGGGTATTATAATGAACCAACGATTACCCCCCTCCGTTTAAACAACGTTAGGGGCACAATCGGCCTAGGTGCAGAATTAGCCAAGAAATGAAAGATAAGAGACTTTTTTAAGCGTCGAGATCTAAAACTGCTCAGCTACAGAAACACAAATTTCAACAGCTAAGTCTTAAAATTGCCTTATAATAAATTGCTACGATTTTATTTATTAAGAGGAAGCAATATAGTTTATTTAATTTTGATAAGTGGGTTAGATAAATTAAATGTGTAGGAATGAAAATTGAACTCGCCATCCCATCAACCAATGGATTTATTGAGAGAAAACTTCGGTGAGCAGACCATTTCACTTTTTGGGCCGGTCGATTGGCCACCAAAATCTTTATGATATTTTCCTGTGAGGATGTGTAAAGTATAAAGTCAATTCGGACCTTGCAGCAAAACCTCACGCATGTCATTCGCCATTTATCAGTCGAAATGCTTGAACGAGTCGTCGAAAATTGACCTTGAACGAATGGACCTTCTAGGACGTAACTGCGGCCAACTTTTGAAAGAGATAATCTTCAAAAAATAATTTCCACAGAATGTTCTTTTGAATGATAATAAACATTCYCCATTAAATTTGAAGTTTCTGTGGCGTTACTTTAAAAAAGTAGGGAACCTCGAAGTGGATCACTCTTTATTTGTTTGGTCCTCAAAAAYACAGCATTTCATATTTTTACATTATATACATAGGTATATCCAAACCTTCCTTAAAAATAATACAATAACTGTTATTTTCTGTTCTGATAAAAATTGTTTTTGAACAGACTCTAACTTGTCTGAATGATTTTAGTAACTAGAGTTTTTAAAATTTAGGCCTAACCAAAGCTCTTATGTATGCTAGTTGCCCTTATTTTGCAGAAGATGGAAAATARATTATTTCATAAACATATTCTTATTGCATTTGTCTTTATTGATCAACGAAAATAAACAAAAATATATCAAACCAAAGTATTAGTTTTTGTAAGAGCTCAATTTCGCAACAGGCAAGTACTCGCGACTATTTGATGGCACAATAATATCATAGCGGAAAGCACCACTTGGAATTATAGACGGCTTATAGTTCCTCAAAGGGACCATTACGGTCAACGGTTGCGACTTGACCAACGCATAACCAGCGTTCTGTTGCTTCTGGCGCAATCKATTATTGCGTTGTTTCACCTCCTCGTAACGCTTAAAAAATTCCACCTTAGCAGCGGCCACTTCAGGCGTATCTTCTACTTGCTGAGGAAGTAAATCAGAACGATCGATAGCTTTTACACTGTCTTCATTAGATTCCTTAACCAGCAATGAATTCRAGGAGATAGGCGTGGAAATGCCGAACAAACGCAATTTGGCCTGCCGATGCGCTGCCAGGTGTTGTAAGCGCGCCGCTGCAACTTCTGGTGTTTCCTGCACAGATTGCGGTGCCTCGAATGCAGTGCTRCCATCCATCGACGAGCGCTGTTTTGGSAAATTGGTACCGGCTACATGGAAGCCATCGGCATCGGCGGTATATGTGACCGTCTGCARTTTGCCTTCGGCGTCTAAATAAGTGTAGTAACCGCGTGTAATCCCGTCCTGACTGCGTACTTCTTGTTTTGTGGAAAATGGTTCGCCATAGCCATAAGAATATTGCCCAAAACCATCCTGGGTGTGATATTGATACTGCTGGGTAGAAGCTAACCTATTCCAATGCGGAACGGTGTGTGTGGCGGGAGTCTCATAGTAGTAACCGTCGGCAGCGACCACCGCCAAAACGGACGACAAATACAAGAACAACTGCATTGTAATTATCGAATATCGAATTTCGAATMTAAAGACAAATTTTTAAAATTGTTTAACTTGAAGAGCGCTGCTAGTGATGCGTTCTTGCAATGTACCAGTACTCGCTCTACGACGATTCTGTTATCAGTTCGACTAAATGTTCTGCTATTTATACAAAACGATGCTATGCGTAGTTAGCTTTGCCAGGTTGGTTCATTGAAGGATTTTCGTTCTCCTTTATTTCTTAAGTTCAGTTATTCTGYCATATTAACATACATACTTATTTCTTATTCGGTAGCAAGCTTATGCTCTTCTACATAGATTGATGATATGTGTGTACCAATGTACATATGTATATGTATAAACAGTCGCGCTTATACGCGGTCATCCCACTGTCAATCGCATGTTCCATAAATCGCACTCGTCCTCAAGAAGGTCGCCCAGTTTAGTTTGCTTTCCGTCGCATGGCATGGCAAAACATGACGTACAGCACGTTTTTCGCGAACTCTGCACATGCGGCAGCGCCTCCTGACATCACGTATAGTACTTATGCTTGACTTGTGCGAAAGTATAAACAACACGTGAGCGCCACGCATGTACAGCTGCAAGCAATGATATAGTAGTGGCTCACTCTAAATCGTTTTCAATTGAGGGCTTAACTCTCCAAACACATTTCGTTATAAAAGTTCCAAAAGTTTTTTAATGGGATTGAGATCAGGAGATCGAGTTGGTTAGTCCATAACCTCAATTTCATTCATCCRAACCACTTCTGGGCCAGTCTACTGTTGCTTTTTGGGACATTGTCCTGGTGGAATATCCATTTTGGCGACGTCATCTTCTGAAAATGGTAGCTAAACATTTTGCAGTACCATGCATCTAGGCGTTTTGATCATTGATGTCTTAAATTCAATAGATCGGGCCAACGTCTCTGTACGAGAAACAATCGTCCAGGTCAGACGTTGCAGTGCAAATTTTAGACGTGATGCTATGTTTTTGTTAATAAAGGAGCCTTTCGTTAGTTGAGAGCATACAAATTATTGTCTCGTAACCTTTTTCCCACACTATGAACACCGCACCTTTAATTTAATTCGTCTCAGATCTCTACAGTAGACATTGTTTGTATACGTTGAAGCATTGCGAATCATTGATGCTGAACACTCAACCAATTATTCCATTGCAGTACTATCGGTTCTACGGAAAAACGGAATTCACTTAACATTTTCAAATTGAGTGCAATAGGAACTTTACATATTTCATAATATTAATGAAGGGGTAATTGGTATCAATATAGTAAGAAATATATATCAAAATTTATTTTACGTATGTTCACTACTGTTTCATTGCTCGCAGCTGTATGTACCGACATGCGTACGAATCTTTCGACGCATACTCGCAAGAGCACCGTTAAAATTRAGTTACGCGAGACAGCTTTTGAACKCATGCTGCGATATGTCAGTTGTACTGACTGAAAGAACTTAATTCACTTCAGTTGATCAGCCATACTATATGTATGTACATACATGTGTACATGTRTATGAACAAATGTGCTGACAGGAAACAATTTGTGGCGTAGAGTGCCTACAACCATCCTACCCAGCTGCTAACAGAAGTTTCTGCACGGAATAACAGCTTCTCATTAATTTTTTTGATCTGCAAATTGTCCTTGCCGAGTTGTCGTTGAGATTCGTTTAATTCCATTTATTGGTATTCAGGAATTATCATCGATGTTGTTCTCTCTTTGGTAAATTTGTGGGGTCAATAGTTCACTGTAAAAATTTAAATCGATCTGTATGTTTGTATGTTGAAGGAGTGCATTTACATACGTGCAACATACAATATCACTTTCAGAGTTATTGCCTTGAAATATTGCCAGTCGAACATACATATAAGTACAACTAGGAACATACATACATATACTCGTATGTCCATAAATACAAAAAAATCATTTTTGGTACGATTACTGAAATTCATACTAAGTACAACATAGAAGATCTGGCAAGCAGATTTAAAAAGCAGCTGCGCTGATTGATATTTCTGAGAAGTTTCTCTTGTCACACTACACTCTTTTTGTAAGATGAAGATAATCCATTTCTAGCTTCCCTTTGCTTTTTTTTAAGAAAAAACACGGAAACTTAAAATTTAGTGGGGAATTTTTGTTATTATTCGAAAGCACAATCTTTGGCATATGTTTTTTGGAGATTATCTCTTTCAAATGTTGGTCACGGCTGCGTCTCAGATGGGCAATGATTGATGATTTCAACGATTCTTTCGGGCATTTGGACTGGTAACTGGCGAATGAGACTCGTAAGGGCTGACTCGAAGCAGGATTATTGGCAAAATCTTTAGACTTTACATGTCCCCACAGAAAAAACTCTAACGGCGTGACCCACGATCTTGGTGGGTAATCAACCGGCTCAACACGTGAAATTATCTGTTCACCGTAATCTTCTCTCTATACATACATACATTGTGATGTGTGAGAAGTGGCACCGTCTTGTTGAAATCAAATGTCGCCGAGATCACAAGCTTCATTTCAACGATCGAACGATTTGTAAACGTTGTTCCAGCGTAAGTCTTTCCATATTGAAATTCCAAACAATAGTGAACAAAAATAACATGACAGCTTGACACGACTCACGCGTGATCTGTCAAAAAATGCTCTTTARAACTCCACTTGGATCACTCCTGATAATTAAGAGTAAGCTTGTAAGCTTGTAAAAAAGTTATACTTAATTTTGTGCAAATAGTTGGCAAATCAAATAACTGGCTGACAACAGTGATCAATATATGTATAAAGGTAGCACCAAGATGAGATTGTAAAATAATCATTATCAGCGTTTACAAACAAGGCATATGTCGTCACCTGAAATGCAAAATAACGTATCATCAAAAATTCAAAATTGAGTGTCTTATTGATTACGCTTCATTACTTCAAATTACATACATAATATTACATATGTTCAATATTTTCAGGTTCTGCGTTCAGATGTACGAGTAAACCAGTTTTAACCAGTATTAAAATTTCTTTTTACTCATGTTCCATTTTATTTCGTGTTTCATTCATGCCACTATAAATATCCGAAAATGTTGTTACGTTATTATGCATTTTAGGTGACGATATGTGAGTTAACACTGGAAAATCATTTTGCTTCATCATTTTCATCAAAGCATTTTGTAGAATTTTAAATTAATTTATTTATTCTATTGATGTATAGTGTATGTATATGTACATACATATATAACACATATATGTATCTGCGTTTGTATATTATTTAATCATTTAATCAATATTTAATCATGACTAAGTTTTAACTAAATAACTGGACAATATGATCGTCGCTGTAATGAGACTGCGACTTGGCGTAATTAACTTTGTGGGACATAGGCAGAAAACCATTTATTATTTAGTTTTGCCAAAAAGGGTACAAATCACTGCGTCTTTATCGATTATAATTAGGTGATACATATAACCGTTAAGTGAACAAAACTATTATAGTCTGTAGCAACATGTTGCAAGAGTACAAAAACATTTTTCCATATCAAAAGAAAGCAAGGATTTCCTTTGACGCAAACAAGATTTTTATTTAAAATGTTTATCAATTTCTTCCCGTTACTTTGCTAACATAGCGAGTACAGTGAAGTTCCTCATAACCGGATATTCACATTCGCGCTCTTTTTGTCCGCCTAAATTCTTCTCTGTTCATATATGGGGGCGTGGCAAWAACGAGTGTTTAAAATGTATTATAAGAGTGAATATCTGCAACTCAGAACTATATTTTTATTGAACTAATAAACGCGTTCCAATGTTAGGCTTTGGTGAATGAATGACAATTGTCTAATTAGTTTCTGTTGAGACGCCTCGACCAGACCATACTATGACCATTTTACATATTATTCTTTAAAAAAAACTGTCTCAAAATATTAAAAATTAATATGAATTTAAAAATGCGGGAATTTTAAATTGTACAAAATTTTTTATTTTTTTTCAAATTTTATTAAATCTTTTGGATTTATCAGAGATAATTTGAACGAAATATTTCCAAAACAGTATCCGTGGCCGGTCATTGGAACGTTCTCTTGTCCGTTTATAGGAATTACTTTAGTATGGAAATAATAATGAAAACTATGTGTTTATAAAATTTGGTCAGTTATAAGTGATGCCCGGCTARGAGGACTGTCCATAATGGGGAATTTCTCTGCAGTCCCAATTTCATTAAAATGTATTGTAGATTTAAATCAAGACACTGTTGAAAGAAAATGGATTGAGTATTTGCAGTATAACGTTTGGGTATTTTGCATTTCAATATTATTTTTSGCTGCTCGGTACTGGAGTAGATCTATGTCTGACATGCAAGCCTGGATACGAGTAATCATATTATAAATAAATTCTGTAAAAAGTTTTTGACGAAATTCATTTATTTCTCGTGCAGAATATGTAAGTATATAAAACATTTTGTAAATTAGCAATAAAGCAAATAAAGATCTTTTACGATCAAACTGGTTTCTCACTCTGAACCCTACCATATAATTGGTTTTAAGTGTATTAAATAGTATATATACATTCTTTGCTTTGCAAAATTGTGTAAATATTTTAAAACTAAATCCATCCACATACACACCTGTGTATATACGTATGTATGCACGCGTACTCACACAATGAAGCTAATCTTTTTATGTACATGCAGTATAAACAATTAAAAATAATAATATTAAATGTGAAATATGATAGGAATACATGTAATGCAACATTCGAATGTAACAAGAAACTCGTGCTACGAATATATGGAAATGTTAACTCTAGTCAAATAGTKATTCAAAAGTTGGTCCTTACGTCCTCGCTGATAAATCTTTTGTAAGTGTGCGTGTCTTACCGTGAGCYYACTTCGATCTAAGACGGTGTGACTGGAAGGAACTGCTCAGGGAAATCGGCAGACTTTCACCTCGTTTCAGTGCCTCCTCTCGCGGAACCAATTGATGTGTTGTGGGCGTTATCACTGTGTAYTTGGTRGTGGGCGCCAAAACTGTATAGTAMGAGTGCACTGGYACGCGCACAGTTTCGATGGTCGTCAACTTTGGCTGTCGTAAAGCTAARTCCGATTTATCTTGTAAATGTCCTTGACCATCGCCCTCGTATGTGTACAATGCGCGCGAGTTAAGTTGTTCGATTGGACTTAACAAATCGCTGAGTTTATAAGTCGTCATTTGTCGATCTGCGTTCGACAATTCGCCGTCACCATTTTCAATAGCAATATTGTCGCCATTACTGCCGTTTCTTTCGTCCTCACTACCTTCACTATCATCTTGTGTGCTTTGTACGTTGTCCAAGGTTATTAGTCCATTATCATCATCACCATCTGTATTTTCGGTATCTTCCTCTTGMTCCTGAGCTGTACCACCAACACCAATTTCAGCTGTCGCCTCAACATTCAAATTATTATTATCGGCATTCGCAGTTTCCGWTAATATTGCTAATATTTTACTTCTGGTACTTTCTAATATATTCGCCACCTCTTGTTGCGGCCGTTCAGASTTTTGTTGCCCGTCCAAGCTAAGTTCGCCTAGTTGTACAGCTTCATTTTGTGACGCTAATGCCGCTCTCAATTCCGCCTCACGGTACGCTTCGAAGTGCGCCTTCTTGGCTTCCTGTACTTCAGGCGTATCTCTYACCGGTAACGGTGCAAACCTATTGGGATTCTTAGGTGCTTTGGGTAAGTTGGTAGCGGCAGCCTTAAAACCTTGATTCCGCCCGGCCTCATACTTCACTGTCTGCAACTTTCCATCTGCATCAACATACGAATAAAATCCGCGCGATGAACCGTCCAGCGAGAGATACTCAGCCTTAGCAGATTGATCAGCACTGTAGCCATAAGAGTAAAAACCATTTGAATCCTGCTCGTGATATTGTGTGTTAGCCGGTGCGGTGTCCTTTTTGTCTAGCGTTGCACTCTCTAATTTGGCAAGCAATATCTCGTTGGGTGTATAATGTATGGTCGACGCTGTGGTGAGGGTCACCCAAATCAAAGCAAGTATTATCCGCATTTCGAAACAGAAGTTTGAAAGGATGCGAAATATCCAAATTATCTGCAATATGCGTTGAAACTGTGTCCACCTTTCAAAGCTGCGAAACCACTAACTTAAAGTAATTGTGAACCGTTTCATTTATATTGTATAACACCCCTTCGAAGAATCTGTTGCACGCGCCAGCCAATCGCTCGCTATATTTGTGCAACAATTTGTTGCAGTTTGTGGAGTAGACGGTGCGTGGTACTTGTAGTATCTTTTACGAAAAAGTGCGATTGTCATAAATAGTGACCTCGAAAAGCAGCCAATAGACAAATACCGGCAGCCACCAGTAAACAACAACCACCAACCTGAGATATCAGTTGGCACAGCACTTTGGCACTCAAGAAGCCCAGCTTGGCGGATTATTTTACAGACCAAATGACATACTGACATCATGCTATTATTTACCCAACCAATCTCTGGTTTGTGTTGAAGCGCACATTCGCCTCAATGTTTATACAATTCATACCGATGTCTTAATGGTTGTATGTAGACAACAGATCTATCGCTTCCGATGTTGTAATAACGAACTTCTTATGTTCCTACCAATAAGTTTATTAACGCTTGAAGACCTATTAAATATCAAATTTGCTAAAAAAAAACAAAAAAAACAAAAAAAGTTGTAATATGCAGAGTGTCAGCTTTCACTGCGGCATAGTAACTTCCAAAGTCTGAAAGCTGTTATACTAGTTGAAATGTTGCAAAGCCGACGTAATATATTTGCAAATACAAATTATTCATTGCTATGCACAATAGGTTGGGTGAGAAAATTAGGTGAGCAAAACTAAGATATAATCTATGGCAAAAAAATACCCAGAAATTGTAAATAAAATRTTTAATTATTTATTTTCTCGCTTTCAAAGTATTATGCTTATGTCAACGATTTTTGCCGTCCTCGAAGTACTTTTCCGAGATACTTTTGGGATGGCCTACAGATCCTTCAGCGAATTTTGTCTGATCTCTTCGATCGGGCTCTCTCGCCGTCTCTCTAACACCTGCCTGACGACTTTCATGCACCATATTCTTCACTTTGTTAATATTTTCATCAGTTGAAGTGGTCGAGTGTCGTCCAGAATAAGGCAAGTGTCTTCAACGAACTCTCGACCGTCTTTAAAGGCTTTATACCACTAGTAAGCTTGTGTTTGTGATAAAACTGAATCACTGTAAGCCTTTTTCCAACATCCGTAACGATTCCACACACGAAATTTGGTTAGAAGTAAAACATTTGAGACAAATTCTTTTATTCGATATTTTTATCCATTGCAAAAATCACAATGCACTGCTGAGGAGTACCAACTTAAGCAGCTGCTGTAAACAAAATGGTTGAMAGATCACGCTCATATTTGGCATAGTAGTTAAGGACAGTCCTACCAAAAATACCTTTCTTTGAAATAATATTTATCCGTGGAATTTCATAACAAGTTCGGTGTGTTTTTTGTCACATTTTATGTAGTATTGTTCAAATAAGTATTGTTAAAACCAAACTTAAACTCCATATGCCARTTTGTCCGCAGTAGCGAGGTTCATCCTAATAACTACCAACTACTGAAGCCTAATCAAGTAAACTTACTGGGCATATGTATTTTCCGCTTCCTTGAGAAAAACTATAATGATATAAGTGGTAGGAATAACCGGTCTTCCGATGCGGATAGGTTATACTGGACCCGTTAAAACTTGTTCTTACAACCACATGCCATAGAATATTGGCATTGGTATCAAACCAAATATAAATTTAGTTGTTCAGTGTTTCGCTAAGACATAAATTGATATTTTCTTACACTCAAGTTATAGCAAATGCCTTTGTAGAGAACAAAGAACAGTGAGTCAAATGAAGATTTCTTATTTTGTGCAGGTATTAGGCAATATATTCCCAGCAATTAAATATACCATACATAGTGTTTTCCACTTTATTCGATTTAGACTTGGATATGAATGAAAGTTCTGTGCTTTCGGCAATTTAGGGTTCAAACGTATCTCAAAATTTAATCCTTTTAAAAGTGGACGAAGAAATAATAATAACAAAGATCTTTATCTTGATTTAATGCGGTCAGTTTGAATGGCAGCTATATAGTCCGATCTGAACAATATATTCGGATATTGCTTTCCATAAGTATCTATGCCAAATTTTTTGATGATACCTATTGAAATAAAAAAAAATTGTCCATACAAGACGGCGCCACTTCTAACTTATTGAGAGAACACTTCGGTGTGCAGATAATTTCACGTTTGGGGCCAGTCAATTTACCACCAAGATCGTGTGATATTATACCGTTATCACATCTTTTTTCTGTAAGGATATGTAAAATCTAAGGTCTAGGCTGATAATCCCGCTTCGATTCAGGCCTTGGRGCCGGTCAAAAGACTCGAACGAGTCATCGACTCAACGGGTCAACATTTGATAGAGATAATCTTCAAAAAATAAATGCCAGAGATTGTACTTTCGAATAATAATAAACGTTTTCCATAAAATTTGAAGTCTCTGTGCTTTTTCTTTAAAAAATTTCTTAGATCGTCACAGTGATCATTTATATATAGTATGTATAGTATGCTTTATAGGGTCTCCGGTGTTTTCTTTTGGGCGTGACAAACATCGTGGCAAACTTAATATACTCTATTCAATTGCTTTCCGACATGATTTTTTTAATGCTTCGTTAGACCTCTGAATGCGCTGTGGTACTAAAATCCTTAAAAATCAATACAAAACTTTCACAACTATAATGAAGTTTCTTTAAACCTATACCAACTATTCAGTCCGCCTATTAAGTTATTAAGTTGCCAAATATATAAATAATCTATGATTCCCAACTTTTTTACTCTGACTCATTATTACTTATTATACCCTAAATTGGGCATACACGTCTGGTAGTAACACCAGGAGACCCCACAAAATGTACATATGTATGTAGGTGTATATATAAATAGCTAAGTCGATTTAGCCAAGTCTGCCTTTCCGAGCGCCCGTTTGTTTGCATATACGCGAACTTGTTTTAGCTTTTGAGATATCGATCTGAAATTTTGAACACGTTCTTTTATCAACAAGAAACTGCACATTAATAGTTATATTATCAGTAAATAATCTAGCTAATACAACAAGTATGCACTCTTCACCTATTGCCGGCGTCATATTCATAACTCACCGACAGTTGGCAAGTAGATGGCATACACGGCAGTCAACGAACCCAAACAGCGACTTTTAAATTGAGCAATATTCTACATTTAATTTTCATGATATTAAAATTGTTCTGAATATGGRTCTTAAAAATAAAAATGTGATATATTCGGGTGGATTTGGTGGCATCGGCCTAGCAGGCGTCAGAGAGTTCCTAAAAAGTGGTGCAAAGGTAAAGTTAAGATCCTATTTTGGTAAGAGCGGAATATCAAAAAAAAAAAAAAAAATAGTTACCGATAAATGTGTTTAGAAAAGGTTAAGGAAAATTAAACATTTTACAAGAATCTCTTCAATGCAAAATGTTATAAAATTACCAATTAACCAATGGAGGGAGAGTAACAAACGAATAGCTAAAATTTATTTTTAGAACAAATAAGATCTATCCAGCATTAACACCTACAACAGCGTCAGCCTCGAAATCCAAAACAGGGGCCAACAAGTAATACTTTGGAGTGAGTAGGCAATCGAAGTAAAATCCTCTCTCGACGAACAAAGACCAAACACTACAAGTCACTCATCATCCCTATCCTGCTATATGGTGCAGAGGCATCGACTATGACAGTATCAGATCAGTCGATGTTAGGAGTTTTTGAGAGAAAGGTTCTGCGCAAGATTTACGGTCCTTTGAACATTGGCAACGGCAAATAAMGCAGTCGATGGAACGACAAACTGTACGAGATACACGACATTGTCATAGTTCAGCGAATTAGGAGACATCGGCTACGCTTGTTGGTTATGTCGTCCGAATGGATGAAAATAACCCAGTTCTGAGAGTATTCGGCGCAGCTCCCGCCAGGGGAAAGAGGAAGAGGAAGGTCTTAACTCCATTGGAAGGACCAAACTGGRACATAAATAAATGTTCCGAAAAATCTGCTTAAAAATCATCTGATTTGCCTATTTTTAGTCCTCATGCTGTTAAATGGACAGACACATAATTTATTTGATAGCTTTCTTATTATTATTTAGACTTTACTTACATATACTATAATATATATATGTGTTTTTTTTTAGTACGTAACAATACTTGATCTCAATGAGAATAAGGAAGCAATGCTTGAGTTAAAAAAATCTCACCCTGGTGCCAAAATTGATTATATACCTGTAGATTTAACGAAAAAAGAGAGCATCACAGCAGCCTTTAAATCAGCTGTGGAGAAAATGGRTYACTTTGACGTTCTGGTCAACGGTTGYGGTATATGTATGGATAGTGAAGTTGACCTAACAATCCAAATTAACTTGGTAAAATATGCTGTTATAAMATTGTTTGAAGTATTGCGCGKATTAAATTTGTTCTCAATTTCCGCTCTAGTTGGGGTTAATCCATAGCACCTTAATTGCACTGCCTTACATGGATAAATCCAGTGGTGGACGTGGTGGCACTATATTGAATGTATCATCCAACAGTGGCTTGGATGCAACTCCTTTATTTGCAATTTATTCGGCATCCAAACATGGTGTTACAGCTTTTACGCGCTGCATGGGGGTTCGTATTGAAATTGAATTATATTTTAACTAAATAATGTACTAATATATTCTTCTCAATTTACTACAGGATCAAATTTATTTMGACCGCTTCGGAGTTAGGGTCCTAGCTATATGTCCTGGACTTACCAAAACTGACCTTATAAAGGATATTCATTCAAATACTACCTTTAARTTTTGTCAAGAAAAAGCTAAACGATATCCCCAAGACCACATTCAGTCAGCAGAGGAGTGTGGGAAGAATATGATTAAAGTAATTGAAACTGGTAAAAACGGTGGTGTCTATTTGCTAGATTTAGGCAAGGTTGAGGAAATTCCATATAAAAGGCAGTGGGTAGTTACTTATGAGACACACTAAGAGCTTGTAAACAAAAAAATAATAAAAAAAATTAAAATAAAATAATTTTAAATGATATAATTTTGATTTGATTTGTCTTATTTAATAAAGAAGTTTGGTGAACCACTGAAGTCATTTCAAAACGTCATTGTGAAATGAAACAGTATATTCTAATARTTATTAGAAATACAAAGCGTGATTGAATAAATAGGGTTAACTTCGGTGAATTGCCCTTCAYATATAAAAAAGCTATTGCAGCAATATGCTATAGCAATCCGAACTGGAATTTTGTTCAGATATTCTASTAGTACTTTGGACAATAATCCCTGCTAAATTTCGTGGAGATATGTATCTTTTCAACTATAAGAGCTATTCATACAAAGCTTAAATTTGACCATTCGGTTTGTATTGCAGCTAAAATACACTATACAAGGTGCTTTTCAAAGTAAACAGGACTTTTTGAATCGAGCGACCCCTGGTGCCGCCATCTATATGTCGATAGGTGCGTTAGAATSTGATGTCTTTATCGMTTTTCCACGGAGAGTTTCATGACATTTTATTGACAGGAAGTGAAGTTACTGCGTTTTAAGTGCCAGTATGCTTGTATTTTCGGTGCAAAAATAAGCTTCGAACAAAGAGACGACATTAAATTTTATTTTAAAATTGGTAAAACTTTTACCGAATCGTTTCAATTGATGAAAAAAGTTTATGGCGATGATTGCCTATCCCGTAGCAGAGTGCACGAGTGGTTTCAACGTATCACCTTATACWKTAACCAGATTCTCTGCAATTTATACGCAGATCACCATTAATTATTTTGTATTATACAATAAGCAWAACAAATTGTTCGTTAGTTTATTTTATGTTAACTAGTAACAATGACAATAAAATAAATAAAAAAATTAACGAACATTTTAGCTTACGAAAGGTGTGTGCACTGTTTGTTCCGCACAAATTGACTAACGACAAAAAATTGATCAGAATCCAACATTCGAAAGACCAATTGTGACCGATTATTTGACCAAAAATCACATTTTAACCATTAAATACTCCCCATATTAACCTAATATGGCACGGTCTGACTTCTTCCTTTTCGGAAAAATGCATTTGCCCATGAAAGGAAAG